AAGCGTTTTCTAAGTCTCAGAATTATTTTTTTGTATTTGTTATTTTTTTTCTTCAATAACTCTATTTCTATTTTATCTTTTTGTGCCTTATTCGCCATATATTTCTTCAAAGTTCTAATTTTTTTCTTCAAGTTTTGGATTACTGATTCTTTATGGTCTATATCTAGTGATGTAGAAGGTTGTGGTGAGTTAATCGACTTTCTAAGTTCATATCTGTTTTTATCATCAACATTGCCCACATTTGTGGAAACTGGTATAAAAACTTCTTCTGTTCTTTTCTTTTCTAAGAGTTTTCTCTGGTACTGTCTTCTGAAATTTTCTCTCCATTTCTTTCTCTGTATATTTCTAGCTCTTTCAGAAGACCTTAATATTTTCTTTTCCTCTTTTCTTTTTATGTATCTCTTCTTTTCCTTCTCCCTCTCTAAGGCATATAAAGCCGGATCTGCTTTTATTTTTGCATATCTGTTTCGCCGTGCAAGTCGGGCTTTTGCCAATACCTCTTCGTGCGACTGCTTTTTCCGCGGCATTTTATCTGAAATATAAATGGATATCCTTTGGAATAGATCCTATAGGTTTCCTATAAGTGCTATTGTATCTCATTTTATTAAACTTCCATGCTAAAAATATGATAAAGATATATCCCACTGCTAACGATTCTCTAAATATTAAAGTAACGTGGTGTAACATATATGTAGGTGTAATGGTTTTGGAGCATATCATTATTATTATTAAGAGTTAGGAGGTATTAGGCCGTAATTCGCAATGAGAGCACTGGTAGCCCAGTGATCACGGCTTCAGACTTACAATTTGTAAGTTAAAGGTTTGAACATCACCCGACGTACGTCTTTTGTGGACATTTTATCGTCACCATTGCTCCATAACGCCTCAGAAAAACATCGTGAGGTAACCAGCGTATCCTAGAACTAATCATTCAAGGACATGTGACATGCACCAAATAGCATTGACCAGTCTGTGTGGATTACGGTTTTGGAGCCAAAAATCTCAATACCTATTTATTAAATAAGTATAGGTAGAAACCAAAAAGCGACGATATGAGATAATAAATATTTAATACTAAATATCAAACCACTACTGTAAGAGAAGATTGACAGTAACAGAAAAAAGCGCAGAAAGTGCTATTTTGCGCTATTCTTGCATCTGAAATTTGTAGTGGTTTAGTAATTTACACGGCAGTTTAAATATAGCATGTATTGAAACAATAGCACATTTAAATAGAAAAAATACCTACTTACCATCCCAGCTTGCTCCTTACCATTCGGGTAAAATGTGGACGGGAAATATGGTAAATAGTAAAATGGTAAGTAGATATTTGTAAACATTTGTGTATGTTGCATTATTTACTAGACTTATGAGACTAAATACGTTATCAGACGAGAAATAATCTTATGGCAAATACTTAGATCATTAATTAAATTAATCTGAACAAATAACTTACCTTTAGAAGACACGAACGGTAAGGAGATTTTATTTTGACCTGGACGATTTTTTGTAGAATATTAATTTTTCGTTGGCGCGAAATCGCTCTTTAAGACGTGCGATCTGCTCAAGTCACTAACGGGCACTGAGGTCGTGGTGGGGAATCGTCGCGAGGATTACATTTACCATTGGGTACAATTCTATTTCACTGTCAGTATTCGCGAACGGTAAGTAGTACGAAGGGTGGGACAGTTTTTGAATTGGTATAAAATTAACTGAAACTGTTCTTTATATCATATATTTTATTTCAGTTTATACATTAACTAATATATTTACTAAATAATAAGAAAAAAAAAATTCTTCGAAGTTTTCGTTTAATTTTTCTTATCATAATGGTTGAAAACTGGGAAAAGGGACACGAATGGTAATGAGGTTTTGGGAACTTTTTTTTTTATAAAATGGCTTATAGCTTATAAAACACAATAAATTGATCTGCAATATGTACCCCACTTAATCAACTATGTATATAAAAAAAGTGATCAAAATCGATTTAGGTTTAATGTGTTATTCACAGCGAGACATCAAAAATGTACGTTTTCAAATATTCACCCAGTTATATTTTCTTTAGATCTTTGTGTTTTTCAAAATATGTATTCGAAATACATCATATATGCGTTAGCCAACATTTATTTCACTTTTCATTCTGACCTAAAATATTACTAATTGTAAAACGAAGAATAAAAATACAATATTATAATTATAAATTCAGCGAGTGTTGTCGCTTATTTGAAACTGCCGTGGCCTTCAATAGCCGAATGATATTTAGGGGTGGCAATGGGAGGGTGGCAAAAGGGAGCTTTAACAGCTGTTTCAGTACGACAGCTCCCTAAGGCCGGCAGTAAAACAGGAATTGCAAAGAAATCCTAGGGATTTACTGTTCGTTGCCAATTATTGGAATGTAAGACCTGTAATGTACTCTACTGTGATTTTTATTTGCAAGTTTGTCTGTCGACAGCGACAGTGTTATGCAAAATTTGCATAATTATAGCTATATCGCTCTCAGCTTTATCTGAGGAGCTCGATGGTGCAGGTGGTTAGCGCGTTCGGCTGCGATCGTTGAAGTTAAGCAACTTTCGCAATGGTCGGTCATTGGATGGGTGACCAAAAATCTTCTGTCTCGAGTTCCTCCGTGCTTCGGAAGGCACGTTAAGCCGTTGGTCCCGGCTGCTTCTGCAGTCGTTAGCACCCGCCAATCCGCACTGGGCCCGCGTGGTGAATCTTGGCCCAATCTCCCTATTCCATCCATAGGGGAGGCCTGTGCTCCAGCAGTGGGGACATTAATAGGCTGATAATGATGAATGATAATGATGATGCATAATTATATCGTAGGATGATTTAATAAATAGAATTTTCGCGAAAGTACTTGGGATTTTGCGAAGACGCGGACAATTAGCTAATAACTGCGACACAGTCTCTGACTAGTGTAGTTGTTAACGTTTTACATTGTTCTGTACAAATTATTTAATTGCAAATAAAGATTTTTATTATTATTATTATTATTAATTAAGCAACGGTGATGACATAACTCAATCTTAGTGACAAAAAATAGTATTTTTGGGAAACGCGAACCGCCTGAGTAAAATTGATAAAGAATCGCTCGCTTATATATTATTAAATATTTTTGGGTTCTTAGATTCACACTAGGTTAGGTTAGATTAATGTTGTGACGATGACCTTGGCAGAATAAAAATATTTAATAGTCTAAAGAAAATATAACTAGAAAAAATTCCACGGGGACCAGGCAGCAGACGGGACTCGAACCCGCACCCTTCGCAATCCGGGCGAATGAAATGAAATGAAATGAAATGTCATTTATTCAGTCTAGGCTGTTACAAGCACTTGTGAAGGTCAAGAAGCTACGCCATCTGTTCGCAAAACTACGGCGGGAGACCTTGTACTGAGAAGAACCGGCAAGAAACTCAGCAAGGGCTGTTTTTTTCTCCCTGTATTGTTATATACAGTGTCGTCAAGTTGAAAAATTACTTCAGAAATACGTCTGAAGTCACTTTCCATTACATCATCTAGAATATAAATATGTAGTTACAATTAATTTTATAATGCACGAATGCACTGACCAATTATGCTACCGCGGCCCTCACAGGCCTCTTCGCATTATAGGCAACCCACAATGTCGAATGCGAAGAGATGGCGCTGCCTTGCAGCTTAAGAATGGCTAGAAGAATTTCGACGCGGTCCGTGAGGGCCGCGGTAGCATAAGTGGTCAGTGCATTCGCCCGGATTGCGAAGGGTGCGGGTTCGAGTCCCGTCTGCTGCCTGGTCCGCGTGGATTTTTTTCTAGTTATATTTTCTTTAGATTTAAACATCAAGCAGTTTCATGCTTTAAAATAATAAAAATGATATATTTAATAGTTAGTTTAACCCACCTTAGTGCTGTGATTTTTATTTTCAAGTCGATCTGTCAATATTTATTTACGAGTATCAAGTTTTGCAATATAATGCATTGTTGTGAATGCTGTATTTCGGAGAAATTGTAAGCCAATTTTATTATCAGATGAATAAAAAAATATTCTGTAATTTAAAATATTTTTTTCTTTATAAAAATTATCTAAGCCTATATTATTTTCATTATATGTACCGTAATAATTTGACGACCTCCTTGGCCGAGTGGTTTTTTGTACGCCGGGTTTCATGTTGTCGCCGACTCGAGAGGTCCCGGGTTCGAATCCCGGTGGGGGCAGATGTTTGTGTGATGAATACGAGCATTTGTACTCCAGTCATGGATGTTTAATATGTATTTCTATATAAATATACTTATATATGTACAGTATATGTATTCTATCCGTCACCCTAGTATCCCATAACACAAGCCTTATAGTGCTTACTTTGGGGCTAGGCTAATTAGGCTATTTATATTATTAGGCCAAGCCGTAAAGTAAGCATTGTAAATGCTTGTGTTATGATTGAAATGTAGAGTTTTATCGTGATATATTATTTGACAGGAAAGAGCTAAACTTAAACCAGTTCAAGGTCGTTTTCGTTTAAAACGCTATTAAACAAGTTCTTTTAGTTAAAAAAAAACACAGGTTACTACACTCCAGAAGTGCCGGCAGAAGTGAAAACTTGAATATTAACGTTGTGCATTTTTGATATTTTGGAATGGTTAGCGAATAATTCTGCACGAATTGCTTTAATTATCAGTATAAAGGTACTATCATTTATGTGGTAGAATACAATATTTATTTATTGCGCTATCGCACACAAACATGACAATTTATACACATAAAATAGTACATTAAAAAGTTTATCTCTCAGAAAAATCAACTTACATGAATCACATTTAAGCGCACCTAGCGACATCTATTGTAAAAAAAATGCATTTTCTTCGCAATAAAGCTGCCACCTGGACGTCCTAGTTACAGACTTATTATTATAATACGATAAAATAAAATGTAACAATTTTATTGTTTTCGTAAGACGAATTTTTGATCACGCCACGTGTCTTGACGCGAGTTTAACATTTTTTATCCATTACAAAAAGAATGTACAACGCCGCTAAAGAAGTTTTTACTTCAAAAAACTACTGCCTTTAAAAAAACGCCACCTTGATTGTAACAATGAGAAGTTTTTTTAAACGTCATAAATAATTGATATTTTGACATTGCTGTTATTTCAGTTTTAACCAACAATGTTACCCGGGATGGTGAAAGGATTCTAACGATACCACTCACATCTAAATCGGTTCAGGCGTTCAGAAGTTATGGTGGAATAAAGAATTGTACATTCATTCATACCCGAACCCTAAGTACATTACACTCTTTTTTCTTGGGCAGTCATGTGAAAAATTCAAGGTCATGTTTTCACTTTAATACTATTTTATGTACCGATTTTAAATAATTATATTTAAAAAGTACCTGTACAAAATTAAATCTTGCTTCAAAGGTACCATTCTTGATACTTTCAGATTCCTCATTCATACAATCACCAGCTTTCCAACTACAGTCGAAATGTGTAAAATATTGCATTACAGAACGCTATCTAAAATACGATCGTCGACGCTAAGTGGTTTGGTAATCCAGTCGTTTAATTTGTGCAACAATGTTAGCCGTTATCGTTTAAAGATTGCACAGATAAATGGCGCGAAACGTGAAATTATTGTAGAGGCAAAAAAAAGCGTGCGTCCAATCCAAAGCTGGCCGGCCGGCCTAATCGATACGCGGCCGGCCGGTGAGGAATTCACAAAACTGGCGGGCCAACACGCGGCCCGAGCGACTGCGCGCTTGCTTTTTCACGTGTTTCGCTATCCGTCCCGCTCGCGCGTCCGCTAAAATAACGGGTGCGAGGGAGACGGCGTCGTTTGCCCGCTTGCTTCCCGCTGCGCGTGTCTGTCTGCCGCTGTGCGCGTCCGTCGCCGTGTCTGTGTACCGAGTGCGAGCTGGCGGCGGCGTGACGTATCGCGTATTTTGTGTTTTAAAGATTTTTTCTCGTGCAATGCCGAAGTTAACCGATGTTGACGATGGCGGGTCACGGAATGACGCCGCTGTTGGAAGGATGGTGGATTCGAGCCAGGCGGAAGATAGGAAGATGATTAGGCTAGTGCGGGAGAGGCGGCTCCTGTACGCGCGGAACAATATGCCGGTCGCGAGCTACTATTCTCGTGTTAAAACGCTGTGGAGCGAAGTGGCACATCACATGGGATGGACGGGTGCGTATTATGTATCTTGTACGATTTGTGACTTTAACTTGATGGACGTAGAGTTCAGAATGCATTGGATTGTAGTGATATTGTTTATGTTTATTTCCACGTTGGTACATTTTGACCGCTCTTTTCTTTCTATTTCGTGTTTGAGTTATTGAATAGAGACTGTAATTAGAAAGACGAACAATTGATTGTATTAATGCAAATCTTGTGTGTAATGTAAGTGTTCATGACTTCATACTTATCAACAATGTTGCGTAGAGTATTTTTAGGAGAATCAATAACGCTTATCTTTTTTATTTACGTCTTGCTCTGATAACAAAATTCGACAAAGTCTTTCTAAGTTCTTTATCGTTCAAAGTCAATTTTGCGATATGAAAATTCCTTTAAGTAGTATTATTTTTAATCTCCTATACTGGATTGGGAGTAAAAGAAAAAAAAATCGCCACCAGCTGTTAACTCTCCCGAGCAGGCAGTAAAAAAAAAACAATTGTCGGGCAGAGCGATTTTTGAAACTCAGTCTGTCACTATTATTTCTATTCTAGGCAACAACTGCAGCTTATATGTGTTTGATAATTAATTTCATACTGCAGTTAGTTTATTAAAGTACCCGTTTGATGCATTCATAATGCATGAAAAGTATGCGAATTCAATATTTCTACTAAGTACCTATTATTTTTTATAAATCTAGTTAAAAAATGTTTATGCAAGATTTGCGATCACCGTAAACCGGTTGGCTCCAAAAATACTTCACGCATTACCAACATTCTACATTCAAATTTGTTCGACCGGTGATTCCAAACGAAAATAGGTCTTATAGCGGGGAAAAAGGAACCATTATTGTTTAGCACAGAAGGCACTGACAGAGTTGTTTTTTGAACAAAACGGTGTAGTGTAGCGCTCTAGTACAGAATTTTATAACTGTTTCTACTGACTTTAGTAACTTTTACAGAGGCATGTCTCTTTTCTGAATGTAATAAATTACATCATTATGTGTATGTGATAGATATTAATAATTACCAGGTGTTGTTTTAAACTTACATAGTCTCTAAAATTATAGTAATTATGTTAGAACGCGATTCAAATAAGAATAGGAAAGCCAATGACCTCCATCTGTCAAATGTCGCTTGAAAAGTACGGTTTGCAAAAAAATCTCGAAACACTTTTTTAGCACTCGGCTGATTCTAGAATAAAAACCATACATTTTTAAACAAACAATAACAAATGTTGATAGATTGGCTATGAATGGTTGATAACCTAAATCGTCAACCAAATGTCACTTTATGTTGCGTTTAGAAACTCGATTTAAAACTTTCGTTTACATATAGGATGCATGTTCGTATGTGACCTGCATGATTATTCATAACTTCTCCGGCGGCGGTAATTCAAAGATGAGCGAAATTGAAGAGCTAGATTCTGATTAATGTTTTTTTTCACACAGTCTTAATAAAGAAATACTATTAAAAATCGGTTGTGTTCTTTCTCAACCTTAGTAAATTAATTTTATTAAAAAATCGGATGTTTTGTCTCACTTTATCTTAGTAAATAAGTTTTACTGAAAAGCAAAATTTTTTTGCTCACTCTACCTATTTGGTTTGAATTGACAGCTATGACGTCAAAATATGGCGCCCAGTCGGTCCTATTGTTAGTTGAATCGCATTATACTTTGGGGATTGTTGCCATGTACCTTGCTTTTAGCGAGTTTCCGATATTCCGGCGTTGTTGCAAGCGCCATGATCACGGAGTAACTGATTTCTCGACGGAAACTCACTAAAAACAAGGTCCATGGTAACACTCCCGTAAATAACATAAATGCCCTTCGTACAATCTGGGGTCCTTCAAGAGAGGCGTGAAGAATCACTTTTGCAGGCCGGCAAGGTGAGGATGGTTGGTGTGGCAGTTTATAACTGCTGTATCAGCTATCTATCTATTAGCGAGTCCCCAGATTATAGAAATGTGCTCCCTACATGGCCACAGACATGTTATTATTACGAGGCATTTTTCTTACGCGACTAAAGCTTAGGCTTTAGATAATATTCATGTATTAATATAATAATATTCATTCATTAATATCAAAAGTCATGTAATTATCTGATAGAGGAATACATAAATATTATTAATATGACTCCTCTCCACCTGATATTAAGTGACAGCAGTTCTTCTTGCCACACCAGCCATCCTCACCCTGCCGGCCTGAATGTTGCTTCTTCACGCCTCTTTTAAAGAATCCCAGGTTGTACGAGGGAGGGAACACGTGAGAGGGCAGAGCATTCCATTTACGGATAGCGCGACAAAGAAACGAGTCACCAAACTTCTTTGTACGCTTTGGAATAGTGGCAAATACATAGGTGGCAACGTAGGCCGGCGCTCGTGGTCCTCAGAAGGAAAGGGGAAGGTGGAATAAGAGAGAATAACCCCTCAGAACACTCACCGTCTAAATAAAATATATAGTTTGGACTTTTTTTATATTATAGATATTAACGGGATTGTTACCATGTACCTTGTTTTTTATGAGTCTCCGATATTTCGGCACTGCAAGCGCCGTGATCAGTATTGTGTGCCGGGAACAAATGCGAGTGAATAGTGAGAATGTGACCAGTGGAAGGGGTATCGAACGTAGTAAAAGACGACGTCAGAGGGTAGACCGATATGTCTGCCAATAACATCTACCCGCAATTACTTCAGTTACTCCGTGATTATGGCGCTTGCAACAGTGCCGAAATATCGGAGACTCATAAAAAACAAGGTACATGGTAACAATCTCGTTAATATCTATAAATAATTAATATATTTAGACTTTTTGTTCAATTCCACCATTTTAGACCCCCCTTTTCCCGTTGTGTTTTGACGTCCGATATATTATTGGCGATTTTGTCCCCAGTGTCCGACGTTCGGCGGAAGTGGTCCCACATTCGGAACTCGTATTCGCGCCACCTCCGGAACGAGATGCATGGCGCGCGCACCGGCAAGGGCCGTATCGTCTCCCGCTGGTACCTCGCCGACGAGCTGGAGTTCCTCAGGGAGCACATGGCCACGGACATGTGAGTAATGAGTATCTAACCTGCTGCACCCGGGAATCTTACCATCACCGGAATACAGCACTTACTCTTATGGTGATAAGATTCCCGGGCGTTTCTTAGAGAGAGGCTTCCAACGAGCTGGAGTTTCTCAGAAGCAACATGGCTACAGACATGTGTGTATTTATTCTGCCCCACTCAGGAATTTTATCATCTCCGCAATAAGTGTCGGCGTTTCTTAGAGAGAAGCTTTCAACGAGCTGCAGTTCCTCAGGATAATAATTATGCGATCTTTGCGGTTTAAGAGATTGTGGGAGTTGCGGGGCAGTTGGATAGATATTAAAATATTTCCACCATATCTGGAGCCATAAAGGCCGCATATTGGCCCTTTGGTACCACCCCGATGAGCTGGAGTTCCTCAGGGAGAAAGGCCACATTTGAGTATCTATCAGGTCACACCCGGGAATCTTATCATCTCTGGTATCAGTGCTGGCACATCTCAGGGAGAAGCTTTGGACATGTCAATTTCTGTCCAGCCGCCCCTGTTTACCCGGCATCTCCAGAATAAGTGCTGGAGTTTTACAGTGGCACATGCCACTGACGTCTGGAAATAAAAATGACCATCTTGGTGTACGATACTATACATATACGAGTATGTATACTATTGACGATAGTTCGTATAAATTAAATGTAGAAGCTGCTAATGTGACCATAGCGCATAGGCTTTATCGCGATAACGTTTTAGTGTCAAAACGTACGAAGCTTCGTCACGAATTATTTCGGGACAATACACGCAGGTGCGGCCCAAGCATTAGACGAAATGTTTAGAGTGGACCAAATGAAGCGAAAATGTGAAACTCCCGAGCTAAATTTACCCAATTCATTTGAATTTAGATAAAGATAGGAAGAAAATTAAAACTAAAGGAAATATAACTAGAAAAAATTCCACGCGGACCAGGCAGCAGACGGGGCTCGAACCCGCACCCTTCGCAATCCGGGCGAATGCACTGACCAATTATGCTACCGCGGCCCTCACGGACCGCGTCGAAATTCTTCTAGCCATTCTTATGCTGCAAGGCAGCGCCATCTCTTCGCATTATAGGTAACCCACAATGTCAAATGAATACTTTTACAAGTATTAAACATTTGAAAGAAGAAATAGCAATTATAGTATAGTATGCGAAGAGATGGCGCTGCCTTGCAGCTTAAGAACGGCTAGAAAAATTTCGACGCGGTCCGTGAGGGCCGCGATAGCATAATTGGTCAGTGCATTCGCCCGGATTGCGAAGGGTGCGGGTTGGAATCCCGTCTGCTGCCTGGTCCGCGTGGAATTTTTTCTAGTTATATTTTCTTTAGATTTAAACATGAAGCAGTTACATGCTTTAAAATAATAGAAATTATAAGAAAATTAAAAGTTTGTTCATCAATAAATTCTTTAACTGTTTTCACATTTTTCTTTATTAAATTTATAAAGGGCCTTAATAATTAATAAATGATCCTGTTTTGAATAAACAAATAAACTTACCTATTTTGTTAAATTTAAGGACTTACGACTAACGTAAGGTTTTCATGGTGTCGATTCTGGCATGATTCTCTTCAATTTGACAACAGTGTATCCTTGTCATTCTCTATATAGAATAAAAAGGACAGACTGATATTAAATTTAGTTTTAAGTTTAGAGAATGCTGCCAGAATCGACACCCATATCTAACTCAAATAAATTAAAATAATATGTTTGTCGCCAGGCGTCCGCCGTCGTACTCATCGTTTGCACCAACTTTAGTCGACATGGAGGGAGCGAACGGAAGTGAAACTGACTCGAAGCTTGACCCATTGGAGATGCAATCATCATTCATGTCCAACCCTTGGTTCGCTCTAAGCAACCAAGTCAAGGTGGAGCCGAAGAGAGAGTCCAATTCCAACGACGACAGTTGCTCCTCAGCGTTCGACCCTGATGAGAACAGCGCGTACTTCCAATTCTTTCGCGGCATTCACAGCGACTATCAAGAATTACCTGCTAAGAAACAGAGGCTGTTCCGGAGAAAATGTTTGGATTTCCTCCACGAGCTTTTGGATGAGGATGACGTGCCGGCTTCCTTGGTGTACCAGAACGATGCTATGAACCTCACCAGATTCTCCAGGACCAATAGTGATGATGAGCGTGAACAGACTCCTTTTTGTGTGGTGGAAAAAGTCGTTACTTGTCCCGAAGGCTCGACGTGAAAAGACTTGAGTGTTACATTAATTTAAAATTTGTTCCTAATTATTAAATAATGATAAAGATGTTGTAATAAATGTTTGATAAAAGTTATTTCTTATGTTATTCCATTATACAAGCTGATCGTTACCATAATTCAAATATCATGTCAGAACCATTTATGTAAATACTTGTCGGAAGTGCTGCGAACTGAGATTGCGAAACACAAAGCTTATAAATCTACTGTAGCTGAATTTTTCATGTGGAAATAGATATCAGTTTTGAGCAGTTTTATTGTCGCTATGAGCGCAGTTAAGTAATATATAAAAGTCTGCGAATAAGTGAAGAATAGGTAGGTAGTAAGAGAATGCTTTGAACATAGATTTAAAAACAACATTTTTAAAAGGCAATTTTGCTAAATAAAACTAGTTTTAACGGGTCAATGCACGAACTTTATTTATTTATTGACGTTTCGCAGCCTCTTCAGGTCTGCATCGTCAGAATAATGATTTTTTATTTACTTTGTCGAGCTAGGTACCTTCTAAAGACTTTTATTGAACGTTCGGCTATTTCATTGGAAGATTTTTAAAACTTTATTGTCTATATATGAATAATTAGTAATGAATAGTTAATTTAGTTAATAAAAGTATTTTTTTTTAAATTCTTTTTTGTAATTTTTATATTTGTTAAAAAATGAGTTTATTTATTTGACCCTAACTACCGTAAACTACCACCGGTTCCAAAATTGGGAGACCTTTCTGAGAAGAACCGGCGAAACAAACTCAGAGAGGCTTTCTATCTCCTTCTTATGTTAAATTATGCAAACAAAAAGAACTAATAGTATCTGTTGGTCTCGCAGTGTGTGCTCAGGGTTGGGATTTTATCTCTTGTATAATGGGTTCCCAAGCCGGTGGTACACACCAACTATCTTCCATATTGAAATTTGGATATTTTTTAATCTCAGTAGCCTCGCGCATCATTCTAGGAACGAATCGCTGCTCAGCCGCTCTTCTGACAAAAAAGGCCCTGAAAATAACTTATAGGGCGCAAGTGACTTATATATAGTCAGAGACTTCAATCAAATCACACATCAATTAGCCGAGGTTCTCAAAAATCACTCTTATCAATATAAAAACATTAGGATGCGAATCCAATGCATTTAGCTGAATTATTTGCCACGTACGAACTAGGTAAATCAAATAGAAGAATAAGAAGAAAATAGAGACTTTGCAGTCTATAAAAAATAGGTGCCTTACTTAACTCTCTGAAATTGGACCACAAATCTTTGTGGCATTACTGAATTAATCGTAATCCTGGCTGGCATTGGAATGGCTTGATACGCTACAGGTGGTAAGCTCTGAAGATAAATTGGAACGGTGGCTATATTCACACTAAGTACATTTTTCTAATAGAAGTAGGTACTCAAATCATTGCCACTAATTACCTTAACGTTAATGATGATGAAAGTTTAAAACAATATAGGTAATATAATCCAAAACGTTAAATAAAACTAGTTTTTACCGGGTTAATGCACGAAACTTTATTTATTTATTGACGTTTCGTAGCCTTTACAGGTTTCGTCGTCAGAATAAAACTTTTATTTAATTTGTCGAGCTACCTTCGAAAGACTTTTATTGAGCGTTTGGTTATTTCATTGTTCGATTTTTAAGTTTTATTGTCTATCTTTATATATATAATTCTTCTGTGAGTGTGTATGTCACTGAACTTCTCTTAAACGACTGGACCGATTTCGATGAATTTTTTTGTGTGTGTTCAAGGGGATCTGAGAATGGTTTAGATTCACAATTTTGTCCGATGGACAATGTTTTTTTAATTAATTTTTAATTTATTAGTAGTTGTTGATTTTGGAATGTTTTACATTGGATCCGACAGACGGCGCTACCATACTAGACAGGACAACGTCTGTCGGGTCCGCTAGTTCTATATATATTATTTAATTTACTTAATAAAGTATTTTATTTAAAATTCTTGTTTGTAATTTTGAGTTTATTTATTTGACCCTAACTACGTGATGTGCGTGAAAACCTAAGAAACAAATAATCCAAAACGGTTAGGCTACACTTTACTGAAGCAAGAAATAGAAAGTTCAAGATGAACAAACGTCTTAAAAGATGAAGCCTATGTACAGAGTCCTTTCGCGTCGGGAACTGGGGCAAGGAAGTAGGGCAGATGGTTTTATTAATGGAATGACGTCACAAGGTGCCCTTGTCGATGTACCCGGGCCTGTTGCTGAGCCGATATGACCCCAGTGTGACCAGATTAAATTTTACGAAAATACCGAGTCACCTCAAAGAAATACTGAAATATACCGACTTACATAGGACAGATATACCAATAAAAATACTGATTTTCTTAACACGTTTCATTTATTCATACTCACAATAAATGTTACAGTTATATTTTAACATCCTTTTCGAAGAATTAAAATTTACACAACCTCCTTCATCCTTAACACCTTGCTTTGTTTTTAAAATAGCTGATACATTTTTGTTTATAAATCTGTTTCTTTGGTCCGTTTTTATTAAATTTATCTGTGAAAATTTCGCGTTCCAAGGAATTCCGCAAACATTATCGCAAAGACGATCACTCACTACGGTGTTGCCATAACTTCTACCAAAGTATACCCAAAAATACTGACTGCCAGCAATATACTTGAAAATATACTGATGTTCGGAAAAATTGATGAAATATATAAATAAAAGTATTAAAATACTGAATCTGGTCACACTGTATGACCCTTAGCGGTAGGGAACAAACACTGAGAGCCCATGATATGTTTACATTTCTCTCCGCAGAACGTTTCTCCCTGACACGCAGTCCCCTGCGTGTTTTGCAATTCGTAATTATTCACGAAGATCTTAATTATCCTTTACTGTAGGTATCTATTATATATGACTAGCAAACCAGTGAACCAAATGTTCACCAAAATCTGATTTAAAAAAAAATTGTATTTAATTAATTGAGAACTTCGGAGATTTTGTGTGGTTTCGTTTGAAATTCTTGATTTCTCGAAAACCGAAAGTGCTACGTTACTCAAATCCGGTTTGTAGTCTTATCAGACTATTCTTAACTTATAACTTAAATATTCTCTTTATCTATCTCTTACGGTTTGGCCGCTGAAACAGCACCACGGACAGACGGACTCGTCTAATAGATAAGAGATTATGTGTGTGTTAATGTTTCGTTCATTGTTTTGAATTAAGAGATCTCGGTATTCTTTCATATTGAACTGGGAATTATAGAAAATGCGTTACATAATTATGTACCTTTCTACATTTACTATAGTCAATCACTATACCCAGGTAGGTACCTATTTGTGTGCCAAATATCATACAAATCCATTCAGCTATTTTTGTGTGACTGCGTACTAAAAATCCAAACACACCCTTAATATACTATGAATATATATTCATAGTAACTAGTATTGATCTAATATAAATAATCTCTTATCTATTAGACAAGTCCGTCCGTCTGTCTGTGGTGCTGTTTCAGCGGCCAAACCGTAAGAGATAGATAAAGAGAATATTTAAGTTATAAGTTAAGAATAGTCTGATAAGACTACAAAACGGATTTGAGTAACGTAGCACTTCCGGTTTTCGAGAAATCAGGTTTTGGTGAACATTTGGTTCACTGGTTTGCTAGTAATAATAATAACTTTATTGCTCAACAAAAGTAGGTACATGAAAGATTGAATACCCTGATTACTATGCTAGGATAATAACCCTGTGTTACAGAAATCAGTGTCTTCTCCCAAAGATATTTTAAAAACTACTTAGTTTACAATTAAATGTTTCCTGTCCTGAATGTGTGTGTGTGTGTGTTTCACTACATTTTTACTGGGTATTACGTTAAGAAAATGTTATATAAAATTAATACATATTATAAGATATATAAATACATAAATAATTAAATCAACACATAATTTTGCTATTTTAAGATACATTTTTTACATCTCAGTGAAACAGAACCTAAATGTAACGTAATGTAATAGTAATGTTGAAATAGTAAATTGAAACAATATTTTAAAATGTTTACTTAATAAACATCTCAGTTTTAATATAATCTCTAATTTTAGACTTGGCCTCACAAAGACTAAAATATACTTTTAGCGAAAGGTATAATGTTCCAACATAATTTTTATACATTAAAGATTGACATGTTGATAATATAGTGTTCATTGCATTTGCAGACTTAACTGCTAGCAAGATTTTTAGTAATAATGAAGTCGAAAAAGGAAAACAGGGACGTGAAACATTATAGCTATTTTTAGGTACCTAAAACTAAAACGAGGGCATATGGAATAATTGCTATCCATGGTTAGTATAGTTAAATTAGGTTAAGACTCTATTGTCTATATATGAATTTATTAGTTAATTTAGTTAATAAAAGTATTTTATTTAAAATTCCTTTTTGAAATTTTTATATTTGTTAAAAAATGAGTTTATTTATTTGACCCTAACTACCGTAAACTACCACCGGTTCCAAAATTCAGAGAGCCTTTCTATCTCCTCTATATGTTAAATTATGCAAACAAAAAGAACGAATAGTATCTGTTGGTCTTGCAGTGTGTGCTCGGGGTTGGGATTTTATCTCTTGTATAATGGGTTCCAATGGGCTATTTTTAGGTACCTATGCTAAAACGAGGGTATTTGGAATAATTGCTGGTCCATGGAATAGTTAAATTAGGTTAACGACTGAACTCGTTTGAATGTGATATTTTATCTTTTTGTTTGTATCATGGGTACTTACCAAGAACATAATAATCAAAATATGTATAAATCTAAAGAAAAGTTTACTAGAAAAAAATCCACGCGGACCAGGCAGCGGACGGGACTCCAACCCGCATCCTTCGCTATCCGGACGAATGCACTGACCATTATGCTACCACGGCCCTATTCGCCGCGTCGAAATTTTCCTAGCCTTAAGCTGCAAGGCAGCGCCATCTCTTAGCATTGTAGGTAACCCACAATGTCAAATGAATACTTTTTTAAGTATTAAACATTTGAAAGAAGAAATAGCAATTATAGTTATGATTTTATTTATTTTTTAAGCATTTAACTGCTAGATGTTTAAATCTAAAGCTGCAAGGCAGCGCCATCTCTTCGCATTGTGGGTTACCTACAATGCGAAGGGATGGCGCTGCCTTGCAGCTTAAGGCTAGGAAAATGGTCAGTGCATTCGCCCGGATAGCGAAGGATGCGGGTTCGAGTCCCGTCCGCTGCCTGGTCCGCGTGGATTTTTTTCTAGTAAACTTTTCTTTAGATTTAAACATCTAGCAGTTAAATGCTTAAAAATAAATAAAATCAAAATATGTATCTGAATTTAACAGTACTCTCAGTACAAGTTTGTGCTCACGAAGTCTATCATAGTTTTTGTAATAGTAAATTATTTTTCTATGTCCATTTTGGTGAAAACTAAACAAATATACTTAAAATTTAGGAAGACGCAAATGATTTAATGATGGAATTTAAACACTTTTTATTTG